TAAAAATATTTGTTTATTATTTAAAATAATGAATAAATTAAAAATTAAAAAGAAAACAGAAACAGACAAAAAAGTCAAAAGACAAACTTGATGGACCACTGCATCTTTTCTGCCATCTCTTTTCTATGTTTCTGTGTCATTTTTTCTTCTCTTGTGTTCATCTCATCGCCTTTCCTTCACTAACCTCCCTTTTTCCATCCCCATCAGAATTACTCTTTAAAATATTTGTTCTCTCTCTGCTGTGTAATTATTACCATTGTCAGAAGCTCTATAGAGAAGGCCTCATGCATCAATGACTCATTCCTCTGAAGGCACCATTTCCAACAGAGAGGACCTTTAAAATCCTCTCTTGGCACCTGATTTTCCCCCCTCATTTCAACCTCTCTTATATAAGCTGTGATGGGTCAGACAGTTCCTCCGTCTAGAACAGAGGTCTTCAAACATGGCAGCTTTAAGACTTGTGGACTTCAACTCCCAGAATTCTCCAGCCAGCTATGCTATGCTATGCTGGCTGGAGAATTCTGGGAGTTGAAGTCCACAGGTCTTTAAGCTGCCATGTTTGAAGACCTCTGTTCTAGAAATTGCCCTCATATTGTAGGCCAACATCTCCTTTCTGCTCCCTGTAATAAAGACAATTCTGAGGAAAAAAAGGAATGGCAAACTCTTAAGGATTTTTTTGCTTGGTACTATTTCTTACTTCAACTTTTTGCACAAGGTAATTCTGAGGATGGATCCCAGGGAAGTTATTGGAGTTATTTAATAAATAAATATATGAAATGAGATGGAATGGAATGCTTCTAAACAGAAAGGAACGTTTTATGACATTACTCTCATGGGAGAGTAATAGAGGAAATACCGGTAGACCTTGTCTTACAAACATTTGTTTAGCAAATATCTGAAGTTATAAGAGCACTGAAAAGAATGACTTATGAACAGTCCTTGCACTTACAACCATCACAGCATCCCTACAGTCATGTGATCAAAATGTGGGTGCTTGACAACAGGTATGTATTTATGATGGTTGTGGCATCCCAGGATCACACAATTGCTATTTGCGACTTCCCGCCTCACGTCCTGCAAGCAACAAGCAATTTGGGAAGCCAGATTCACTTATTGGCTGCAACTGCATGAATCACTTAATAACTGGTTGAGCATGTGCAACAGATATATGCATATAGAACTGGAATTATGTAAAGTAGTGCATCAATACATGGTAGGGTCTTTGAACTTTACACCTGCATATAAATACATACCTACTTATTTTTAAAAAAATCATTTATGATCCCCTTGATGAATCAGCACAATGAGAAGTTATTCCCACAGAGAGAAAAATGGTTGACAATGTGCATTAATTCTGATGTAAACCCCATAGTGTATTCAATGGGGTTATTCCTAAATCAATGTGCATAAATTTGCAATCTTTCAGAGTATAGTTTGGGTCAGTCCCTTTGTATCAATTGTACTTTTATTTTATTTTATTGATGTATAAACTACCTCAGTCTGAACTGAGTCTGAATAAAGTACGTGAATGAAACAAATAGAATTACCTCAGCAGTTAAAATAATCAATTAACAGTCCAAACAATCACAATAATTAGAATTTATGTGCTCCTCAATTTTCCTAGTGTCTGAAAAGACCTCTGAAAGATGATAATTTTAAGGGCTTTTTTAAACTAAAGGAGGATGGTTGTTAATTCCACTTCTAGCAACACCAGGTTCCAGAGCATGAGAGCTACTACACCTGTCTCCTTTTTGAAGTTCCCTCAACTTCTCATTGGGGCAAAATCCTTAGCAGGCCTTCTTTGATGTTTGGAGTAGATGAGCAAAATGTAACTTGGCAGGACATTGCCTGATGTCCTGTGTTATGACATATAGATGCTCCGTAGCAATATGAAATGCTATTAAGAACTGCAGTTGTGCAAAAACTAAAGAAGCATCACAGAGGAATTAAAGTGCTCCACTGTGATGATACATGTAACTTAAGTTCTGTCTTCCACTGACTCTATTCAACGCCGGTTCTTCTATCCCTTGGAAGCTGCCACCAATTTATGTCGATAACAATCCAAGTTGCAGGTTGATAACACAATCCATTTTTTAAAATCACGAACCAAAATGTAATTGATTGGCATTTCAGCAAATAGATTGCTGAATAGCAAATAAGGTTAAATAGTGCATGTATTTCTCTCTAATTTTCTTAATAGAAACAAAACATACTTCCACAACCACCACTCTCCTCCTCCTCCTCCTCCTCCTCCTCTTTCTCCTTCCCTTTCCCCTTCTCCTTCTCCATGCAATTTTATATCATTAACCTTTCTTCATATATTTTCTCTGTCTGCATTTGGAACACTTAATGCTATTGTACATAACATTGTGTTAAATGGACATAAAGTCCATTTGCTTTCACAATATGCCACAATTGGAAACCCTAATTATATTTAGGCCAAATTCCCTCTTATACATATAATTAATCATCATAACGTCAGAAGCAAATGCATTCGGTGTTTGACTGTATAAAATGCCCCATAGCTTAAATCAATAATATTAAATGATTTTATCCTAGGAGAATCTGGTCATTTAATCCTCTGTAGTATATGCAAAATTCAAAATTTAGAATGTCTACTTGTGAAACATTTCAGTTGTGCATAGTTCCAAAAATGAAACATTCTTAGCCTGTGCATCTCCATAATACAAAGAAATGCATATATTTAAACATGCTTATGGACAATAGACATTAGCCATGCATATACTGTAGAAGATTACAGAACTTGCCAGAGAACATATTTGAAGGCACAGATTGTGGAAAGCTGTACTATGAGTTTCCATAGGACTTTAAAAAAAGTAAAATCACAACTAAATTTATTCAGTTTTATATAAAATTAGATAGATGATTAAATGACCTCCCACATGCCAGCAATGTAAGATAAGATAACCAGTCCCAAGATCTGAATCCTAATTATCTGACCATACCTGCAGAATACCAGCTATTCAGCAACACCCGTGTATGCGACACATTTTATGTTGTATTTTATTGCTATTGTTTTATATTTTGATAATATATCATATTTTACCTTATTTGAAAGCCACTAAGAGTCTCTCTTAGATTGCTAAGGGATAGAAATCAGATCAATCAACAAACAAATATCTTGTCAACAGAAAAAATTATCCAATTTAATTCCAAATTAAGGGATTACGGGATTGTTGAAAAGAAATTATATACATATATATATAATAACTACATCTAAAAAGGTGCCAAAGGACAAAATAGCACATGTGAGGATTGCCTTTGACCAGCATTGTCTAGTTTGTCCATTGTGAGTTATCTTGGGCAGAAATAATCTGGCCATATTAGTTCATACTTTAGACACTTTTCAATAGAATTGTTGTAAGGATTTTCTGGGGCCTGCCCTTGAAAACAATGTGAATACTTCATCTGTGGCTGAATACCACAGCCAGCATTACTTTTGTTACAGCCAGATAGAAATACATTACACTGATTCCAAAGGCATCTTTTATTTTTTAGATTCCTTATCATTAAAAATAATAGTCCTACAGTAAGTTTTTGGAATAACTATTCACTGTAGATCAAGTAGTGTTCCCCTTTAAAGCATAAAGAGTTGACAATCAAAGATCTGAAGGAATGTCTGTCTCTATATCAGCCTGCCCAGTTTAAGTAGCCTGAATTATATAAGAGAAAAACTAGTTTTGACACCCAAGGGGGCATTGCATTGCATTCTTTTTCACATCAGTTCAAAACTTTTTTTGCTTGCTTAGCTGTTTAAAGGATGACTCTGATAGCGTCTTTATCATATTTGCTACTTCTTCTTGGTTTTAAGGGTCCTTTTATCAGTTTTTCTATTAATTCTGTATCCCATTATGATTCTAAGCATACTCTCACATTACATTCTGTTATATTCAAGGATGAAGGGAGGTGTAACTATGGTTGCAATAAAAAAATACTTGAAATTAGCAAATTATATTTAGTTGTCCATTTCTTGCTACATTATAGTCCGGAGCTCAGTCTGAGACCACTGATGCTGTACTCCCACTATCTTCACTCATTATATCTTTTTTTAAAAAAGACTCCTTTGAATTCTTTAAAGAAACGCTGGCAGTTGATGCTATTTTAGATGCTATCACATGTGAGGATTTACTTTTACCACCACTAAAAACAGCTCAGTGATTGATTTTCAGAGCACAAAATAGCCTTCTCCAGCCTGGTACCATCCAGATTGCTGGAATCAATTCAGGAGTTGCAGTCATAGCACATCTGCGATATACCAGGTTGGGAAAGGTTGCTCTAAAGTAAGAAAATAAAATAATAATAATAATAGAAATGGGTCACTGTATGTTTGGCACCATGTGCATCTGTATGTTTGAGAGATGGAGAGAAGATGAATTCAGGCAAGTTCTAATCCAAGAAAGAATGTTGGTACCTATATTCTATGAGTACATTGACATTTTTGATCCAGTCTTCCCATGAGAATCCTATGAGCCCCCTGCCAAAAAAAAACCCCCAAACCTTTAGTCTCGGCTAATCTATTAAAATGATTTCAGACTTTCTAAAATAACTTGAAAACTGCTGTTTAGAAAGCCGTACCAAAGAACAACTGTCCAGACAAGGAAGAACAGAGACGCCAAACTGATCTTTTTACAAACTTGTATTAAAACATGGTTTACTGTTGTTTTGATGGAAACGTATCAATAAAGCAAACAAATATTCTTAAAATAACATTCTAAGTAGTGTAGCATCTCAAAGATTTCTGTTAACATAAATTTTTATAAATGGACCAGAGCCTTCCCAACCCCCACCCCTTATTAAGCTTTTGCTAGAACAAAAGCAGCGATGCTCAGAATTTCAGCCAACAATAGATTATGTGCTTTAACTGAAACAGATACACAAACATTCAGTATACCCTTGTTTACCCAAACAGGCACTGAAATCACATCAACTTCGTGATAAAGCAAATACATGGTACATAAGTGTCACAAATTATCTCTTACCTGTTCTGAAGCCAGTTTATTCCATCAGAGTCCTGCAAAATCCAGCTAACAAGGGAAAGGAGAAGAGAGCAATGTCTGTATCCCATTCAGTTTCATTTTTATCCCCTAAAAGTGTTCCCTTTCTGGGTCCATCTTTTTTGCCAGATTTCCAAGTAATTCACTATAGTTTCTTCTGCTCTTGATCTTCCTCCAACTTTCCTTCATTGTTTTCTCAGTCTTCTCTTCTCTTCTTCGTTTGATAGTTTCCTGATTTTAACATGCTCTATTAGGTGTTCCCACTTGCAAATTTGCAGCCCGGTCTTAGGCTTTTCAAACAATATTTTTTCTAGTTTTTCTTTGCCTTTCCTCCTCACCTCCTACCCTTTTGCCTTCTCTTTTACACTCCTGCTGTTTCATTCACACTTTTCTTTCAGGGTTTGTTCTTCCTCTTGCTTTTCTCTGTTTTTCTTTTTCACTCCTTCTTTTCAAATTGCTTGCTTCCCGTTATCTGATTGCTGTGCAGTCTGTAACTAAGAAGTCAGCAACTCCACTAAAATCCAACAGCCTTCCACTACTTTAACCCATCCCTGTGTGTGATCTCAAAACCATGGATACAAGCTGCAGATGCAGCAATGGGGAATGATAGGAGTACAATCCAAAGCAGTGGAAACAGTAGTGGGAATGCATAGAGCACCAAGTGTAAAGCCCCAAGCATCTTAGCACAGAATGCTCTGGTCTGAAGAAGTTTGGTGTTTCTTTCAGAAAATGTATAGATAAATGTGTTTCTTGTGCTTTCCTATTTTTTCTAACTGTTGCAACATGAGTCTGTTCTGTAGTAGTAGAGATAAAAGTAAGTTCTACTGTATTTCCAGAACCTTCTCCCTGGATGCCTTAATGTGACATCATGACCCAGGATTAACTCAAATCAATTGGTATTTGTGACAGAAAATCAAAGGTAATTTGAATTTTGAATAATAATATAGAATAATAATAATATGAAAAATATAGAATAGAAAAAGTGCCCCAAGGGTGTTATTAGGGCAAAGATTTTGGTTTTCTTCATAGCTTCCTCAACCATAACCAAACAGCTTTTATGAAAATATTTGTTGAGTAGTTCTGTACAGAATATGGCATATTGTAAGTTGTATTTTCTGTTTTAGAGCAAAGTGGTGAAAAAAGACTCAGGAATGGTCAAAGCAATTCTGCCTGGAATTGGAAGCTGAACCCTGATTGGAGCTGATTAGCCTAACCACAGGCTAAGCAAGCCAACTTTGGAAACCTCACATGATTGTAGTCTAATGTTATAATTAATTTATGTGTAGATGTCAGAAAACTTTTGACTAATCACGAAAAGGATGCAAGTTTGGTTTTCCCCTTTTTGCAACTTAAAATTTTGTTTCTCGTACTTCACTTTCATCGTACTTCCTACGATACCCTTCCCTACCCAATTCTCGCATTTCACTCACATGGAGCCATGCAAACCTGGCTCCATCACAGGTACTGTCATATGCATGTTGTAAATGATCAAATACCATAAACCCATATATTAAATGTGTATATCTATAAAATAATTTCTATAACATGTGCTTTCAGATGTAGCTATTAATTATTGCATTTGGTATCATTACTGAAATAATACTTTTTCAATATAATATTTGCACATTTGTACTTTTCATTTATACGTGATGCCCACTATATTTGTTAAGGCTGCAGATACCAGTGTCCTGCCAGTCTGATGCCCAATTAGAGACAATGGGAGTGGCTGGAGTGGTATATGATTGAATTGAAGAACCCAATCAATTAGTGATGTAACATTTCCATATTTCAACATTCAGTCTCTAAAACTACACCAGAATAACAGAGTTGGAAGGGATCTTGGAGGTCTTCTAGTCCAACCTCCTGCTCAAGCAGGAAACCAATACCATTTCAGACAAATGGTTGCCCAATCTCTTCTTTTAAAAAAAACCAGAGCAGGAACATGGACAGTTTTATGGATTAGCTTCTTCCACCAGTTGGTAGATTTTATTTATATGGCTGCCTTTCTCATGTGATATGACATCTCATATGACATCTCATGTGATAGGCAGCATTCATACAGGATACAAGAAGTTGCCACGTACAGTACAGTTTTAAAATGCCCTTTAGTATTAGTATCTTGTATATATTAACTTATGATTCATAGGAAAGAAACTGAATACCAATTTACCACTAGACTTAATCTTGAAGAGCTCCAATCCCTCTGAGAGATCAGTTGATAACGTTCATTTGGATTTCAGCCCTTGAAAATTTTTGATTTCCATACTAGTACTAGAATAGAATAGAATTTTTTTGGCCAAGTGTGATTGGACACACAGGAATTTGTCTTGATGCATATGTTCTCAGTGTACATAAAAGAAAAGATAGATTCATCAAGAATCATAAGAGTTAATGATAGTCATCGGGTAGAAATAAGCAATCAGGAAATAATATCAATATAAATCGTAAGGATCCAAGCAACAAAGTTACAGTCATTCAGTCATAAGTGGAAGGAGAAGGAGTGGAAAGAGATGGAAGATTATGGGATTGCATGACTTTTACATTGTACGGTTTCATAACTTTTTCCTGATATGTTCTCTTATGCTTAAAAAAGACCTTTGTTTTCTTCAGAAATGTTGAGCAATGTGTGCTGTTTGTTCTCTAACTGTCACTAAGGTTTCTGTTCTTCAATTCTTCTTCTTCTATATCTTCATTTTAGGTCTAAAAAGTAATTGTTTGTTTGATCTTCACGCCCATTCAATGTAATTACTTTTAGCACATCTCCCATCTATATTTTCTAGTTTAAACATGCTTCTAGAGCTAGAAATCCCCTGCATTAATTAATTAAGTAATTTTGAAATTCAAAGTTGTACATATTATACACTAAGAGAGTAAAACTCAGTGTCTTGCACACTGAAAGTTAAAACTATCCCTAGTAAAGTGCTCATTGAATTCCAGCATAGCTACATATATGATGCATAGTAACATGTAAGTTTCTAATTTCCACACTGTTACGAGGTTGAAGGCCTCAGGATGAATCTTGCATGGACCACTCTAACCACATACTGATGTAAAACAAGATGCTAGTGATTATCCATAAGAATCTATATACTTTGAAACCCGAAGACATATTACCTGAAACATTGTCTTCTATATGGGTTTACTCAGCTTAATACAATACTCATAAAACATCTTGTTCCATACATTTTAATTTCAGAAACTCAGCTGGTTAGGTTATGGGCCAGGCCTTTTCATTGGTGAGTTTAAAACTATATTTCCCTTTTTCAGGATGTGTAGTTGGTTCTTTCTTTTTCATCGTTAGAATAAACTTCCTCTCGACTGTTGTTTTTCAGATGTGTTAGATTACAATTTCCATCATCCACCAGTTAGCATGGGTTGAGATTATTAACTTTAAGTGAATGATCAAGACATTATTATTTCTCTAGGCTTTCAATCCAAGTTATTTCATATTTTATGTGATACTATATCATATTTTACTTGTAACTATATTGGAAATTGCTTTGAGAAGCTATTTTAGCTGAAGGATGAATATGAAATAAAAAATAAATGTAAGGCAATCCAGAAATCAGGATGTACTCCTTTGCCTGCAAACATACATAGAACCTATTTAAACTTGCTTCAGATAGCATAGGGAGGTTCTATGTGATCCTGAAATTCCTAAGGGCTCTCGTCTTCATCATTTGTGTGGGGAAAGTTTCTTCTTCTATCTATTCCAGATTTCATTTAAGAACTTCCTTTCCTGCTCTACATTCCATCCAGAATGTAGAAAGGATTAAAAAAAGCTTATATGTTTCTGAGTATGCATTTTCTTTTTCAGATTTTCTTAATCTGCTAAACTTCATTGTTAATCTGTAAGAATTAATTGGAACCCCCCATAGGAAAGAATTCATCATAAAGTTCTTCCAAAACAAATCTGCAAATCTAACTAAGCAACAGAAGTAAAGATAAAAGCAAAAAAAGTAAAGAAGTTTTGTCCCAAAGATGCTTTTTTAAGAGACAACGGGACTTTCTGATTTTTCTTTGAAGATGTTTCACTCTTGGATGAGAAGTGAAACATCTTCAAAGAAAAACCAGAAAGTTCCGTCGCCTCTTGAAAAAAACACCTTTGGGACAACCATGACCTGTATCAGGGGTCTCCAACCTTGGCAACTTTAAAACTTGTGGACTTCAACTCCCAGAATTCCTCAGCCAGCTTTGCTGGGACTTTAAGACTTGTGGACTTTGGCTGAGGAATTCTGGGAGTTGAAGTCCACAAGTCTTAAAGTTGCCAAGGTTGGAGACCCCTGACCTGGATGACTGAGAATCTCCATAGACATAAAGAAGCTTTTTAAAAAAAAATCACCTATAACTTGCTATTGGGGTTATAACCACTCGGATTGTAAATACAAAACTGAGACTTTTCCCCAGTAGGAGGCTATGTGTCTTCTTCCTGAAGAAGACCTTAATGAAACTATTGCCAAAACAAATTCTGTCTTAAAACATCATTCATACTCTACATTATACTTGTTTTTAAGCAAGGGTTTTCTGTTAGAATTCCAAGCTCCAAGGTTTGAAGCTACTGGGCAAAGTGGTTGGGTAGACAATCCCTCCTACCTCCAACTTTGCTTTTACCAGCTGCTTTCTTTATTAAGAAGCATAGAATATTTTAGCACCTATGGATAAACCACCACAGACGGTGGCAGCAGCCGTTGCTAAGGAGACGTTCCCCAAAATAGTCCCATTCCGCCAACCTTTCCTGCTGCTAATGTTGTGGGGATGGGGGAGGTGTAGAAATGAAGAACGAATAGCTCCTTGGAAAAGTAGAAAAATAATCTTTTCATCAACCTGTCCCAAGCTGAAGTTGATGCCACTTTCCAGCCTGAGATAATAAGTAGCTAAATTCTTATTGGGGTTAAGGACAGTTTTCAGAACTTACTTTTCTAAAGAATAAAGTGAGGGTAGGGATGAGGGTTATTTTCAGGATAAATTGCTTCCCAGAGAATTTGATTCCCCTTCCTCCAAACTTTCCTCACTGCAAATCTCACCCCTCAGGATCTATGATTAGAAAAAAGGCCAAACCTCCAGTGTCAAATTCTGTTCACACTGTAAAAACAGAAAAATATGGATCAATCTGGCTTGCAAGAAAAAATATAAAAAGCTGAAGGTTCCAGGAATGATGTGGAGAAGGGGGAAAATAATGAACTTCTGCTCAGTTCTCAGGAGGCTGGAAGAGGAGCCTTGAAGGCCACATCAAGTCTGCAGTTAAAAGCTCTACATTTTGGTGTACACATTTTCTCCTAGTAATTTCTTTGTGGTATTCTGTCACATTTAAAAGGTGACGCGATGATTGAAGTTTCTCCTTGTTCCTTGCCAAGACCTTTCCATAATATTAAGCTGACTCAACTTAAATCAGAATTAAAGAATTACAACTGGGAAAATGTAAAGCATTCATTCACACCACCATCTAAGCAGTTGATAGCTGTAACTTCAGTTAATACACGTCGATCTCTTCCACTGCTAAAATGATAATATGAATGCCACATACTGCTACTTGATATATAATTAACTGAACATGAAGGTTGGTATTCTGTTTCAATCAATTTTATGTATTTTTTTTAAAAAAAATAATCTAACTTCTGTTCA